ATAGGTATAGGACATAGTTGATCAAAGTTGTTCACATTGGTTGGTTGAATTCGAAAATTGAATAATATACAGGGTGTTCCATTTGAAAATAATTAGTTATGGTCGTTTATCAAAGATACAAATTGAGACGTATTTTTCAGACACTCTGTATAAAATAAGATTTGAGTTTTGTTCTGAAATAAAAACCACCATAACTTATCTCAATGTTGCCAGAATTTGAGTTCGGTCTATCAGTTAATTCATGCGATATTAAATAATAAAATAACCATGGTTTGGCCAAAAAAAATCACAAAATAATTAATATTTTAAAAACGGTGAGAGATAGGTATAGAACATGGTTCACAAAACTTATTTGGAATTCGATGCAGAATTCAAAAATGATATAATATATAGGGTGTTCTATTTGAAATTTCCAAATTGATGTCTTACATGTAGATGTGGCAACAATGCGGAGATGAAAATATTTTCAAACGATAAATGTGAAGATCGCTTGATAACAGATAGAAAGGAGGTGGCCGATGCTTTTGCAATACAATTTTCGAAAATCTGCAAAAACAAAACAGATGATTATTTCGGAAAAAATCCTACTTTCAATTGTTCTGCTTCCAGTAATTCTCTAAATAATATTTTTGTCCCATATCTAACTGAAACCGATGTATATGACATTATTAAATCACTGAAAAATACAACCTGTTCAGGAATTGACGAGATATCACCAAAACTATTGAAAACTATGCTTGCTTATATTATCACGCCTTTAACAAGCTTAATCAACTTATCACTAGCTGAAGGTGAATTCTCAAATTTATTGAAAGTTTCTCTTGTGTTTTCCCTTCACAAAAAAGACGATAAACAAATAATAGATAATTATCGCCAAATATCACTTCTAACAGAATTTTCTAGAGTCAGTGAACGCTGTGTGTACAATATAGTAGTAAATTTTGTAGAGCACAATAATCTGTTAACGCAATCTCAACATGGTTTCAGAAAGAGTAAATCTATAGAATCAGCCACATATCATTTAATGAATTTTGTTTATACTTCTTTAGACAAGGGACAATATGTAGTATCACTTATGTTTGATTTCTCAAAGGCTTTTGACTGCCTAAACATTGCTTTCATTTTGGAAAAACTCAGTTTTCTTGGTATCATGGGCACTATTTTGAAATGGTTTGAATCTTATTTGTCGAACAGAAGTATAATTGTTAAAATGGAACATTGATTATCAGAGAGGTGTGCTGTTTCTTTAGGCGTACCTCAAGGATCAGTACTGGGACCGTTAATTTTTTCTTCTGTTTGTTAACGACCTTCCCAACCACATAACTGTTGGAAAAGTTACAATGTTTGCGTACGATACCACCACTGTTTGTAAACAGCTCAATAAAGCATATTATGCAATTGTGCAAATGAATCCAATTTTAGACAGGAATGGGTTGTTGAACCTATACTATGCATTTGCATATAGCCACTTATAATATTGCAACTTGGGGGCTATCAACTGAGTACAAAAGAGTTTTTATGTCTCAAAAAAGACTTATTAGACTAATATTCATTTTGGAACATAGGGAATCCTGTAGATCCACTTTTAAAGAGCACCGTATTAAACCATTCCATTCCATATTTATCCTAAAATGCGTAACACCTTGACAGAAACATTCGTTTATGAGAATTGTAAAATGGTTCAGAATAATTCCAAGAGAATCTTTTAATATTTTGCTGTTGATATCATAAGCATCATAGCTATTTGGGTAACACGATGAAATCACCTCAAAAAAACAATTGATTTCTTGCCAACTTTCCAAATTCAAATAATTTTTCTTCTTTCATAAAACATACTTGCATAAAACTTCATTACTTTTGTCGTTGTCATCATATACAAAGACACAGTGTTTTTTTATTTTTTATATGTATCTAACACTTCTGATGATTTTTAAGATTACTTATAGTGGAAAATTATTTTACAACATTAAAAAGCGATAACACTTCCATGATCCAGAACCATTAAAAAAAACAACTTGTGTGGCGTAGATAGAAATATAATGTATTTTAAGGTTTAGAATATCTTAATCCATGTAATGAAAGCAGTACATTTGAAAAGTTTCACCGTCTTTATTGAATCTGATATGAAATACGACAAAGTCTGAGACAGCTTGAAAATCAAAAATACCCTTAATAAACTTGTTTTCATAAAATTTGAAGAATTAATCATTATTAACCACTTATTGTTTTTCTTCGAATTCACCTAGTACATAAAATTAATATTGTACAGCAACAACTTTTCCTAAAATCTGTTCACCCAGAATCAATAATTATTAATTATTCAAGTTCTGTGATAACTGTGGTACAAAATGCAAAGTAGAATAATTTGAAGTGTAAGTTTGACTGAAGAAGCCACCGTGTAGTTAATAATGTGAAAATTACTCAATTAGGTACTTCCGAGGAAAATTAGAATCACATTAGAATTTCAAGTCTCACCTCATAAACTGCTCACTGTCGGTTAAAGGTCTGTACCTGTGAAAAACATTACAAGCAACTCCTGCTTCCAAACCTGCCAATTTCATAAATTCCCTTTTTTCGTTATTCCAAATATATGTCACTTTTTTGCAGGAGAATATATGCAACCTAAAAAATTCAATGGCAATCAATGATAATTTTCAGGTTCACATTTTAAACATACTTATCAAGTTCCCTGAATTCTCCATTTTCAAAATGTACTGATAAACCAGGAGGTGCGTCAGAAACAGGTATCTGATTATGATTGAGTCTCCTTGTGTCCTTTTGGAGCTTTGCTATGCTAGCAGGTGTAATAGTGTGAATACCTCGAACATGATATATTTTGTGGTTTCCATTATATAATTCCTTAAACATAGAAACAAAAAATTGTACCTAAAATGCCCAATAATAATGAAGCAGAACACAATTTGGAGATGGTTACTAATCTACATAGGTCACTATTTGTATTTTGAGCTTGAGCAACACAGACGCCATCTGACATTTCCAATTGAAAATTTTCAACCATAACCTTCTTTAGAATGGTTAGTCATTTGAGGATATGCGTTGTTTACAGTGCTTTGAAAATTTTGTCTCAGTGAAAAAATAGAATTGACTGGTGAAGTTCAGTGGGATGATTTGTTATCACTTTTGACGTGGATTATCAAGACAACTGTGAATCAGGTTTGTCTCTTGGATCTCACATAAAAGTGCTCAAAAAATACAATGACACTGCTTCATCATGGAAATGTATGATTCAAAAAATGAACACCAGTCGACTACATGGGTGTGCCAAATTGAATAAGTTAAATTCAACAAAAATTAGTCGTGCACAGAGCACTTCGAAACAATGAAGGTCTGTTTTTTTTGGAAGAACTCGTCATGTGGCAACACTACCTCTGAAGGAACATATTGAAAAAAGGAAAACTAATGAGCAAGCTCATGCTTGCTCCAAGCATGGATGCTTTTTATTGACAGAAAGCTGTCGATGTGAACATAAAACATGTTTTGAAGATAACTCAAACGTAGAATATATGTTATGACAAATGATTCAAACACATACAAAAGTGTATAAATCATTAAGGAACTTTTTTTTTAAAGCAATAAATTGATTTTTAATGTCAAATCACTCGTACGCGGGTGGATTGCAAAAAAGGCAAAAATTTGCAAAAAACTACGCAGTAAGTATGTATCTCCATCAAATACTTAAGCTAGTGCTTAAATTAAATTATTACTCGATAGAAAATACATCAATATCCAAAAATATGAAGTTTGAAGTAATTAATCAACAATGTTGCTAATCAATATAGATCCACATCATATCAGAGATATTCAACTATTTTTGCACGTGAAATATTTCCAGCCCATCCACACTCGAAGGAGATGGTGGCTATAGAACAAACACATCATAACAGTGTTAAGAAGAATCTAGATTGGAAAGTAAAAAAAAATTACCTAAATCACGAGGCAAATAGTATATTATTCAATGAGCAATGAATGTGACCATTTTCATGAGAATGAATATTATTGATGTAAGCCAAAGGTGAGTATTGTGAATCATTCAAACGAGTAATGGCTATTTTTCGTTTAGAATACTGTACTGTTTCTGTAACTTATAAGAGAAGCGTTTTAAAATGAAATTTATTTATGAAAGATACTCCGACTCAAGAGTCAAACCATTAAATTTCATAACGGATAGTAAACTGAAAAAAACGTTTAAAATTAAAACGTTTCGTTCTCGGTCAAGGACTTTTTCAATTTAATTTTTTATATTCTCATAACATTTCACAATATACCTAGAAAATTGTGTTTCCACTATGAAATTTTTACAAACCTTTGTTACAACGGTGTAGACGACTCCGCAAATTGCTACTAAAGATAAAAATCCAACAAATCTGTATGAGTCCTTTTCAAAGCGGAAATCAACAGGTGGTGGATACAAAATGCTTCTGACAAGGCTACCTAAAATGTAAGCAAAGTGTGAAAATTACCATCTACTCAAATAACAGAAGCTTCACCTTTTGCTGTTGAAAATCCTGTTCGAACCACAATGGCTAAAACTTTTTCATTTCCGAAATATCTTGTCTGTATTACCCGCGTTCCGCAAAATAAAGTGTGTCTCCCATGTTCTTTTGGATCATAAGAGATTTGAACACGTGGTAAAGAAGTTTTAGTTACTGGTACAGACTCGCCTGAAAGATATATAAGTAACTCCATCACATATTTTAAACAGGTATGTAAAAATAATCAATAAAATGAATGAAATGAAATATTTCTCTTTCCACAAATTAAGTTCTCTTGAGAAGGTTGCTTCAATTCTACTTCATTTGTAATATAGAGAGTTTTTCTGAATATATTCATTTGATGACACCAGATAGCATGGAGGTTATTTAAATATTTGAAAAGTAGTTTTAGCTTAATGCCAAAGCGGAGATTTAAACTACCTAATCACAATTATTGAGTACATAATGTACAATTTTTGACTTTGAAGTAATAATCACAATTAATGGTGCCATTAAATGACCTTTTGTTAATTTGTTGGCCCTATAAATTAAATTATTGCAATTCATTCATATATAAGAAATATGCAATTTTTTTTAAGACTCTGCAGTGACTGAATGCATAGACTTTCAAATAAAATGGTAAGCAAAACTGACGACGACCTCGGTAAATTCAAAATAAAGAAGGCTCTTTCCAAAATTGTAATGACACATTTATTAATTCATGAAAATCATGATACATCAATATTTCTTTCCTTTTTTGTTACTGGTAACTTCATACATACATGCATACATACATACATACATACTTCATACATACATGCAATACTTCAAACACATTCTTTAGTTTTTCATGATATTTGTTATTTGAGTTAATGAAGAAATAGACAAAAAAGTATAAAAATAGGAATATGCTGTCATGTATTTACATACATCAAGGAAATTCTCATGAAAAGTGAAACTATTTTTCATTTCACCTTTATAAGTTTTAATCGATTTGGAATATCTCATAAGCAACTCCCACAGAAGGTCTCATGTTGAGATTAATTTTCCCTTTCCAATCATTTTATTGATTAAGGTACTGTTGTGAGCAAATTCATCATTTTTACACTGATGTATGATAAAGGTTTCACCTAATCATGAATTGATAAGCAGAGCTATTCAAGATTCAGTTCTTGATAATAACGACATCTAAATATAACTAGGTGTTGTATAATCCGAGATCAAAGAGTAATCTGAGAGTAGTTTGTGAAATCGGGCCTAAAAAATCTATATCTGAACTATCATCACCTGTCAACATTGACTCGTTTACAATGCAAGTGCCTGTCAGTAACACAGCATCACAATGCATCGTACAACCGTAAGAAGGAATTTCCATTATGTCACCAGGAACTAAAAGCTCTGTAGATATCGTTTCTGTTTTACAAGAGCCGTCAACTCCATCAAGAGAAGTTCCAACAGGATGCCTCAAGATCGTACACACATCACTGCTGTGTATAGTTGATTGCAAGTTTTTCTGATTCTGCAATGATCAAGAATTATACGTTATGTTAGCAATATTATTAAAGAATAAATTACCTCTCTTGTTTGTTTAACTGACATGCCAATGCCAAAAAATGATAGGAGAACAATTGTGGAACCATAGTAGTAATAATTGTCGACAACCCAAAGGATAAAGCTCCATACTTGAAACACATAAAACGGACTGAGAACTGCTGCACACAACAGAACAAAAATGGTTTGCTGTTTCACATCTATGAGATTTTTACCATAAACCAACAACCTAAAAAACATTAAAACTGTTGAATAGTCTGAACATCCAAATAACTCATTTTTGGAAAGATTCATGTATTTAACTACGTTACATAATATTTGTAGAAGGTTATATAACAGTCTAATTCTCACACTAGGTTGTAAATATATACACATAGTCATGGGTGAACAAATTCTTAGATATTAATAAAACAAAAAATATAAATCAATGATAAATATAGCATAAACATACAATTTTAAAAAAAGCTAATCGTAAATCTATTGTCAATCACCTTCAAACATTAAATGAAGATGCTGACTTGAATCAACTGATATCAAATTTTCAAGGACTAGAACTTTAATAATAAAATCCTTGGCTTAATTCTATTATATACCTAATGTAATTGAAGCTTTCTCTAAACTGAACCTTTTTTCAATTTTATTGAAAACACAAAGTTTAATAGTGGTTTCACTGCTTTCAGATAAGGATATAACCATTACAAAATGGTCAAATACTGACTCAACAAATAGTTAGACTTATAACGGAGATATTGGTAAGTTAATCACTGATTTTGTTTTGTTTCTTGGGGACTGATGAATATTTTTACCATAAAAAGGTTAGTTTGAACAAATACATCAATTTCAATAAATTTGTCTCATGTGAGGCATGCATTACTGGTGAAATGCCATCCACTCATGTTAGCAAAATACAATTGAAAGTTTAATCAAATAGACGGCAATCAGTAACCTCGAAACAATAAAAAAACTGTTAAATTTTTAATACAAAAATAAAATAGTAATTGTGATTCCAGTTTCATTTGAAAAAGCTAATGTTTGCCACTGATCAATCAAATTTAGCCAGTTTAGATCTTATGAGTGATAGCAAAAAGTCATTAGGAGTCACAGAAAGGTGTTCAATAACAACACGATAAACTAATCCTGAATTGGAATGCTTTCAAAAAATAATGTTTGGTTGAAATAACTTTGAAGTATTCATATGTATCTTGAAAAACTTCAAAACCAAAATAAAATGCAGGGAATCATGAGTGAAATGTGAGTTCTTTAGATATTTATTACAATGATGAATTGGACTAGAAATTGTACCTACTTGTACCATAGTCTGCAGTTTTTTGCCTGGCGTTTCGTCTACGACCGTGGTAGATATTATCAAGGAGGGTGGTGGGCTTGGCTTCGTTCCTATTGATGGGATTATGTGTCTTGATTTGTGTATATGGGTTATTTTTAACACCTCGACACGTGTTTCGATCACAAAGTGATCATCTTCAAGAGGAAGATTGAACCAATTTAATCATCTTCAAGAGGAAGATTAAACCAGTTTAATCTTCCTCTTGAAGATGATCACTTGGTGATCGAAATACGTGTCGAGTTGTTAAAAATAATGATTTGGTGTTGGGAAGAAACTCCAGTAATATTCATTACTACACCAAAGGTTCCAAACAGTGCATCCTAACAAAATACTCTTTCCTCTCAACTTGTTATTGTTCTAAATTCAACAGCACTATGAATTTTCAGTTTTATATTCAAATAAATACGTACTGTTTTTTGTGAAGCCGTACTGATTTAAGAAAAATTGGTGAGGACAGCCATTTACGAGTTCACAGAGAATAGCCTGTACAATTTAGAACAGGTATCCAGATTTCATTTATGTTAACTTCTACTTCCTTTCAATTGAAATTTTCTATATTTTTTAATTTCCCTCGTTTCCCTATATATAGTGATTCTGAGTTTGGAGTAATTAAAACGTTCGTTGACAGGGCCCAACGCTTCTCTGAACCTGAAAATCTATATCACCTAAAGAATGTCTTCGAAGGGAATGGGTATAGCGGTCAATATGACCTAAGAGAGAGAACATCAAAATAAGTCCCAACATTGAAAACATTACGAATCAGATTGGTATAATTCTGAAGAAACAGATTGAAACCAATATTCAGGTCAATGAGAACATTCAGAAGAGTTTAAGGAACTCAGGGAACTTCAAGCAACACCAGGGATATGCCGGATCCCATGTAGCTGCAGATTGGAACCACAAAAAAAGAGGTTTAAGAACCTGACTCTCTAATTATGAGAAAACTTGTCTCTCAGACAAACCGATAAATCAGCTGTATTATAACTTCAATAACTGAGAGTATATCATAATAACTGTCTAAGAATATATAGGGAGGAGATGGAAATTCAAAAACACAGAGACCACTTAAATCAAAGGAAAAGGGAACTGACATGAATAAAATCTGACTACCTGTTCTAAATTGCACACAAATCAGGTTATTCAATCCAGCAACTGGAACAAAACCATCTTGATAGTGACTTCCTGAGTCGTAGACAAAATGGTAAGAATGACAACCTGCAGACCACGGTCAACAAACACCGTAAAGAGCTAAAACACTTTTATATCCGGCCATAAAAGTTTACACTATTTGGAAGTTATTTGACAGAATATACAGCAATATATATTTTTTACTCATAAATTTCATATGAATTCATAGTTGTTCAACATAAAATATGAATATACAACCTAATTTAAGACGGTTGATGTTTTCAATTGATAAGCTATAAATTTACCTCTAAGAAGATCCTCAATTTGTTCCTCATTTCTTTCAACATCAGCTCCTCCATGACTCACAGCACTTGAATATTCACGTTGCGAACTCATATTGGACTATTTATACTAACAATTATTTTTTAAATTAGATACACTCTTTGTATCGTGTGAAAGTCTAAACAAAAAACACACCTTTATTCAAGAATGTTTGCTACAATCAGAAAAAAGCAGAACAGAAAAATTAATCCAGTCCTCACTGACAATGTATTTTCACTGATGCACTCTCCACCACTGATAACTCAATGTTTCTATATATATTTTTTCACAAAATGTCCAAATCTCAAGCTTCTTTCTGCTGAAGAACTCTTGCAATGCCTTCTCTGATCATTTGGATATCCATTATCACCTAAAATATATGTAATAATAATAAGTGGCTTATGTTACATCTCAAAAATTTGACTTGACTTTCAGAAAGTGCATCAAGCTTTCTCTTGTTAGTTTAGTTTAATAATTTAAGTGACAGTTCACCAGACCTGGCATGGAGTAGAATATTGACAATTTTTTAAAATATTTCCCTTAAAACCAAGGATGTTATGGATATGAAATTTCAGATCTGGATACGGATATAGAAATATACTGAAACTATCTGAAACTAACGATTATACGTTAGTTTCAGATACAGATGTTAGACTGAAGTGAAATAAAAATAGCAACTAAAGACATGAACTTTAAATGTTCAAGCCCGTCTCGGATATACCTACACAGTAGGTTGAATGGACTGACGACTATTAGAAAACAACTACTTCCCTGGCTAATACCACGAACGACGTTGGGTTATATCCTACAGGCGTCAGTGCAGGAATCTTCACAGAAAATTTCCTGCATATGCAATTGGCAATACTACTGAAAGAGTCGACCTTCAATTTTGGAACGGGCACACTTGCAGACCGGTTTCGGGCTCCTCAGCCACTCTTCAGTGCAAGATAGTGGCCATCATCGACCTAAAGTCAATGATATTCCATAATTGAAAATCGAAATTCTTTCAGAGTATTTCATTCCTCGTCTTAAGTTGGAGCGAACAACAAAAATGTAACTCCATCTAGTGGACGAGGTACTAACCCACTGCATATCCGAAATTTGCCCGATTCCTCTGAATAAGGAAGAAAATGCCTTGATGAAAGATATCAAATTGTTGATATAGGAAATACCAAAAGTGAAAAAAGAAAAATATTAAGAGGATTGCCACAAGGGTCAATATTGGGGCCACTTCTGTTTCTAATCTATATCAACGACCTGCCTCACGTGATGAACTCGCCAGACATAGAAACTATATTGTAAATAGGTAAAATAGATGATCCTCATATGATCCATAGTGACATATTAGAGAAAGCTCGATCATGGTTCACACCAAATGACTTGATTCTCAATGAACAAAGAACAGAAACTCTTAACTTTTGAAACAATTTACTTAAATCGAGATAACAAAAATTCTACCAAATTTTTGGGAGTACAAATAGATTCCGACCTGAAATGGATAGACCATATGAATAGCATGTGTAGTAAACTTAGCAAGACAGTTTTTGCTATCAGAAGAATTAAAAAAAAATAGTAAATCAAAGTGCGGCACTTGCAACATATTCACTTTTTCATTCAGTCCTTAGGTATAATCAATATAATCAACTGGAATAATGCATCAAAGGTACATCTTAATAGAATATTTGTCATTCAAAAATCTGCAGTAAGAAGCATAATCTCTGCCAATTATGATGAAAAGTGTCGATCAATATTTGCAAAACTTAAAATAATGACACTATACTCAGTTATTGTCTATGAAAACCTGCTTCTTGTTCAACAAAATTTGATGAATAAAGTTGCTCACAAGGATATATACCAACATGATACAAGAAATAAATCAAACTTTTTTCCTACAGCTCATATAGGAATTAAGCTATACAATGCCTTATCTGTCGAATTTCGTAACTTGCCATTCAGAAGATTCAAAAGCTTATTGAAGAAAATATTAACCAAACATCCTATATGAAATTGATCAATTTTTCGAAGTTATTCAAGAAGAAATTCACTTTTGTGGTCACCTCCCGAACTTTTACTCAACTTTGATTATATATAATATGTTAGATATGTGATTTATAATTTGTAAAGGTCATGGCTTTACATTTTAGCCAATTTTTATACTATTGGAATTTTGTCTTGTTAACTTGTATTTTTTTGTAACTCTAATTTATCTACAAGCATCTTTTAGAAACTATATTGACGAATCTTATCCTCTCAAACCTATTTTAGAAAATGTATTGACGTGTCTAAAAACTGGGTGTTTCTTGAGGCTAATAAAATTATTATTATTATTTTAACAGTTATGGATGAGGTTATGTTATGAGATTAGTGTTATGACTAGAAATAACAAACTATGCACGATTCAGGTGGCGCGCGAGTGGTGAATCGAAAACCTATTGTAACATGTTTTAATTAGATTCCGCCCTTATTCGAAAATATCCGAAACGTTTGTACCTGATAAGGTTATATTTTTATTTTGGATATCCGATAGTTTCAGTTACGGAGCTCCATAACATCCCTGCTTAAAACGCAAGTATTTCGTAGACTGATGGCAAATCTGAAGTAAATTTTGTAGGTCGGATTTTCTTTCAGAGTTACTACCCTTCAAAGTTCAAAATAACTGTTTCAAGATCTCAGTTTTAGCAGTAAAAATTTGTATAATGGCATCCTTATTTCTACTCTGAGCATTAATTCATTTGTCATTCAGTTTTTTTTAATACAACTTATTTGTTTTCCACAAAACTATATGTTGAAAATACAATTGAAAATTACCTTTTACATTTTCTGAAAATTCCTTGTGATTTAGTAATTCAGAGTGATATCATCATTCAATAAAACAATTAATGTTAAGAAAATATCCTTTTTTGGTTATACAATTGTTTCAAAGAGTGTGTATGTAGATCATTGACTGATTTTTTATATTATGAATATTATTAATAATAAGAAATAACTATGTTTCCCTATGGACATTCAGTTAAATAGATTTTTTTTCAGAATGTGTACATAATCCTTTAAATGGAAACTGAAACAGATATTCATTGGAGACACCACTTACTTTTACCCTCAAACTGTGACCAATATTTCAGATAAAAACACTCGTCAGACACAGTTTGGATTCATGCAAATCTTGATTCTCTTTGAATATTTGATGAGGAGTTCGATTTGAAATTAAAAGTGATTCTTGTAAGATATATTTTGAAAATTCACTCACTTTTAATTGCATTTAGCACTCATTTGACAATAACTTTTTTTATACATTTTTATTGACTGAATTTCTTGAAAATAATTATATTACTTGAATTTTCATCTTGTTTTTATACTACTTTAGTTTTCTGATCCTATATTGATACATATTACACGAAGTTTTATTCATTTCCTCAAAATTTCAGCATTCTCACATATATTATACTCTACTATACATTTTGGATTGACCCATCCGAGTTATATGAAGTATTAGGACCCTCGTTTATTTTGGATATTTGTAGTTCAAGTTTTTTGATCCTGTAGATGGTGTCTTAGGGGGAGTTGTCATCATCAATTGTAGAAGTGAACAATGGCAATGACCCATCTTGTTTACTAGAATAGATCAAAACAACTAATTTTTTTCTAGTATTTCATAGACTCAACCTATGCCTCTAGTACTTCACACAAGTAGTTGCAAAAAAAATGCATTATTGGGGATGATACCTACACTATGAATTGAAAGCGGTTTTTTTTAACTGACATCTTCTATAAATGAGAGCAGAAAACCTTTTGTGGAGAATTTCAAGATGAAATGAAAATATTTTGTATATTTTTTCACTATATTTTTCACAGTTCTGAAGATATTTCAGTTGTTATTACATGAGGCAAATATTCAATTTCATGTGTCAAAAATTTAATGGCACACTATTGCTATCTCGATAACAGTAACATATATTAATGTTGACACAAATCAATAATAACAAAATATTAGATTTTTTTATTTAAATAAAAATATCCTATTTCATTGTATTCTTCTTTTTTTCTTTCACTTTTTTCTAGTCACTTTTGTGACTTTTGTTACTTTTCAACTACCCATTTTGGTTACTAGCAGACAATAACTGAAATTTATTGTTCTCCTGACAAGAAAAATCATGTTTAAAATTGACTTGGCTTGGATTGTTTTATTTTTCCAAATGATCTTTTGGAATGTTTAAAATCAATAGATGCAAGAATTCTGGTAATTAAAATAGATCTTAAAAGTAGGTAAAATGATGGCTCAGGTAAAAATTGTTTTCATTATTCTCCAGTTTTATGAGTTTTCTTAGAAAGGTAAATAATGAAGTGAAGTCTGAAGATGCTATTGTGTAGCGAAACACGTGTCATGGTTTTGAAACTTTCAAGTGGAAATCTCACATTAGTCTGTTTATTTTTAATACGTCCAAATGATCTGGTTGATACTATAAATCTTGAAAATTCCCCTACGAGAAATCCTGCAGGTCCTATGGAATGCCGTCCTAAATAATTATTCCAAAATGCATAGTATACTGTTATTAAAACCTCATCCTGGTACAACAAAGATTGTCTGACGTGTCCAATTCAATATATTGTTAGTCTAAACGCTCCAAAATCTCACTGTCCTGTTACAAGAATTTTTTTACTTGCCAAAATTGATGCAAGGTGGTGCCTCCAAGCTATTACTGATTTCAACATTATGCAGTCAGATGTTCCCTCCTTTAAGTATGTCAGGCAAGTTAGCGCGTTAATGAAAGATGTGAGCTTCATTTGTGTCCAAGTTATTCTTGTTAAAATCATTGATGAATATAATAAATAGTATTGGCCCAAGTATACTGCTTATACTGTTCATTGCTTGTTACAATTGCCAATAAAAAATAATAATCTTGTGGCATAATTGTGAAGAGTAGAAGTAGTTTAAAATGTCAGCAGAGGTTAATTTGCTGAAATAGATATGTGTGTGTATGAGTTTTTTAATATGTAAGCCATTCAAATAATCAATTATTTGACATTTTCAATCCATGAAGGGGAGGTACTTCTGAAAAAAATTCCGACAGATAAATTTGGAAAAAATTATGGTCAATAAACTATAATATGTATGTTGCAAGTGATACAAACAAGTGTGCAGACTGGTCAGCAGAATGTACTCTTCTAACAAAACGTAATTACTTACTTGCCCAGAATATTAAAAATTACCAATTATTTGGTAAAAAACAAAGATATTTTTAGAAAAGTCAACAAAGAGATGGCATTGAAATTATTCATATGAGTATATCTTAGATTCATTATTGAATGAGAAGTGTATAGATTGTAATGAGTCGGAAGGTTTATCGGCTCCTCAGTTTTTCGATCTCTTATACAAAGAAGTGTAAATGAGGTACTATATTCAATTTATAATAGAAATTGCATACTTACTTCATAAATTCAATTTAATCAGCCTGGTGTAAAATGATATCAAGTAAACGTCATATATCCATGATACAAGCTTTTCCAAAGCATATGTCAGTCACCAGGATCATTCTTAGCTCGATAACCAATGCTTGAGGTAACAAAGGCAGATTCAATATTGTGCATCTTATTTGTACAGATTCCGTTGATGTTGTCCAAATTTATAACACAAAACACTTTGATATATGGATTATAATCACTAGTATGCATAATAATTGAATAAGAGCACAATATGTGGCAAAAGAAGGTCTCCAATGATTTTTAATAACCTGAGAAACTCTTAGAAATACGTGTCAGATTTGCTAATATACAAGAATGCGTCACTGGCACTTAAATATCTCTTCTGATAAAAAATATCCAACGTCATAAAAATACCGAGAACTTCGGAAATCAATTGGAAAATTGGTTTCTATTTTCAGTCTTGGGACTTCTAATTAACTGATATAAAATTAACATTTTGTAAATCTTCATTTTAAAGCTGAGGATAACAGAAATTTCCTGGATATATTACTGGTATAATCCAGTTGCCACACTCTTCAACTTCCACTTTTTTTTAGACAATCACTTTTATATTCAGACTTTTAAACGAATTTTAGAAGGGCGCATCGATTTAAAACCGAATTACTAATAAAATTTTGCAATAAAGAACCACCAAATAACTTTAAAATACAAATCACACCCTGAATAACTATCACAAGGAACTGAAAGATGACAAATTTGCAAGCAATTTTGCCAAAATGGAATATGAGGAATACGACCATTAACGACTAGCGGCAAGCAATGAAAGTGTCATATCAATATCACAGAATGGTGAACATTCAGAAAGGACACTCGAGGGCAGAGCCGTTCATCTAAGAAAACTAATAGATATCCAGCAACTCGTGACCTTAAAAAGAAACTTTATTGATACTTTCATCCTTGTTATCAAGTGAAATGACTTGTATATTTTGAGAAAAAGGTGAGACTAACCAACAAAGTAGTGAATATTCATACGTATTTGAATTAAATATACTTGTACTTGGGTTACATTTGAATTGTTTCATTGATTTTTTGAGAAAATGAGTGATGATATAATATTAGTTTTGCGTTGGACTGGATTCATTGATATGAAGTTATTCATTTTAGTATTTATGTAGAGATGGAATCATCAAGAATTTTCATCTCTTTTTTTTGAGGTCATTGAAGTTGAATATCTCCATTTCATTGACTTCCGCCCTTTTGCGCATAAGTCACGGCTCAGTGGTGCCGACATCAAAGGGGCAGATTGGATTCATAGAATCAAACAAATGGTTTGAGTGATTTCTTTTTCTGTGGTCAGAATTTTTATCCGGAACAATCTCTGTCACTTTTCTGCTTCAACAGCGAGCAATTTTCCCTAAGAAGATGGCGACCTCTTTGTGCGAGGAAAGTACTCTTCAATTTTTCCGCACTTAGGTGAAACTTCTGATTATTTACTCTTCTGTGTCAATATGCACTTCCTCTCAGAGTTGCCAACAGCAAAAAGTCAAACAAAAATATCCCTCAACAGTGAAAAAAAATCATATTTCAATGGTTATATTATGGTATGAAGAATCTTTATACTATAGTTACATTTAAGATGCATAGAAACCCTGGTGATTCTAACTTCCTTTTTGATTTGTTAAAATTCTCAAGGCGAGAAATGAGATTGGCCCAACTTTGTACACATGTTGATAGATGGCGCAAGAATCAAAATCTGTCGCGAGTATTTCATTCAGATCTTCAATTTATAGATCATATATACATATATCTATACTAACATAAATGTGAAAGTTTGTGAGTATGGGGATTCAGATGAAACTTTACATAAATACGGCTTATACATCAGAATAACATGTAGGCTATAATTTACAAAGGTTTTGTGTAATTTTGGTCATAATATAACGACAAGTAATAAGTAAGTCGGAAAAATTCTTGCTCCCTGAGAGCTATCTTGGCGTGCGCTGCCTATACCGTTGGAGTTACATGAAGATAACGTACCGTAAGATTGTCTATATTAAATAGTTCTAGATAAAAGTCCGCGATAGCATATATGTGGTAACCACTATATGCAAAATACTAAGCAAAAATTAAATACAATTAAATTGGATATTTTTTTTGCAATGCACATTTTAGAATATCTGTCATATTCTTATAAAAATTGATACAATTGTCATTTTAAGTATTTAATATAGATAAACGTTGTCTTTTACACTAAGTAATTTGTACGAATCGTTTAAAGTTATCTCGATAAGATTAACTTCACGCAAGGCAGTAAGCCATTACGCGTCGCGTCTATTGTAAGACGACGGGGGAAGATGCGCGGGGGTAGAGGGGCGGTCTAAGCAATGAAGCGCCATTGCCGAGCACGCACTTCGAAAGCGGGCAGTCGCGTGGGAGCAGACGTCGTGGACGGATGGGTTATTAGTTTTGCAAATTTATTTATAGGTAACATAATTCGATTCTCGAAGCAATTCATTACTTAGTGCAGTTGGCATATTTTTTTGGTTACTGTATTTTTGAAGTAAAAATATAAATTACTAGCTGTTTCCCACTCTTATAATAACGTACAACCTGAACTACTGAACGTAGAATCTTGAAATATCCAGGTAGGTTCTTTGTATAGCGTAAATGAGCATCAAAAAAGGGAATCAGGAATTTCCACCCCCAAGGGGAAAAATAGAGGTTCAAAGATTGTATTGAATTTCGCTAATTATAAAGTTGAAAACCTAAAGTTTTGGGTTATTAAAAAAATATTGTAACTGTTCAAAATGGTCTGTCACAAAACATAATTCTACGTGGGAAAATTCATGGACGAAGCTCTACTTCATTATCTGTCATCAGTAGGTACGGCATAGTCAAGTGCAAGGATAGGCAACACTTGGTTGCAGAAACAATACAAGTGTACGGAGTCATCAACATGAGCCAGCCACACTTTGTGTGTTAGAGATATCACTAAAGTCACCACGAGGTAACTTCAGCTACTTGCTTGACATCCGGGTCCAGTATTCGTTATAGATGATAATTTCGAGTGTATTTGATGTAATCGGAAGCAAGAAAAATTCATGAACATATAACCTACAGACTTAGACAATATTTGGATGTAAATGTCAAGAAAATGCTATGTGATTCATTAGTTTTATCTCAGTTCAACCACTGTGACGCTGTTTATTATTCATGTTTAAACAAGAACGACAGGTGTCGCATACAAAAAGTTCATAACTCTTGTATCAGGTTAATATTTGGATTTGGTATCAGAAGAAGGTCCAGAATTTCACACAAATTAGCAGATTTGAAGTGGTTGAATATGTTCAATCGTAGATGTTTTCATGCACCATGCATGTTCGTTAAAATATTCAAATATAGCAATCCTCCCTACTTATATGAACATTTGTCTTATAGAACAGATATCCATAACCTGAATTTGCGTGAAAAGACAGTGCTAAACATTCCTGTACATAAAAAGGAAATGTTCAAACGATCTTTGTCCTGTAATATCTCCTCCACAATAAATTATCTCCATAAATGGGAAAACAATTGTTTTAACATGTCAGAAACTGTTTTCAAAAGTAGGTTTAAACAGCATCTGTTCAGCATTCAGAATAACTAGGTCCGCGGAGAGAATCCTGAAAAAGGTTTTAGCTATTCATATATCTATATCTTTATATTACATTCTCTTTTCTTTTTTTTTTCTTCCTTTCTTCTATTCTTCTCTTCAAGCCCCCATTTATTTATTTTTATACATTTTCGGCATTGGTGGAAGAGCAGATCGATGCGAATTGCATTTGCAACCAAATACAAAGTGTTTTTATTTTTCTCTCTCTTGTATTTTGTTTTTTGTTATTGTCTTGATATTTTGATTGGCATTAAACTCATTATTATTATTATTAAACTCTCAAAAAATAGATGCAAACCGCAGACAGGTGTTACCTGTTGCTTCTGCAACCAAGTGTTGCCTAACCTTGCACTTGACTTTACCATACTGATAACAGCTAATAAGCTAGAAACACGTGTCTGCGGTTTGCATATATTTTTAAGTGCTTCGTCCATGAATTTTCCCTGGCGTCAGTGATATAGTGACTTAGAGATAAAAAAATACTTTGCGAGTTTATTGTTGGTTTATGAATTTTCCTGGAGTTTCTTTGGTGCACATTTTCATCATTAATGCGTGTTTCACAGTTCGTTCATTCTTTTTATACAAAAGAGTGTATTAATAGTTTGTAATGTAGCACCGATAAATTGATAAGAAAGAAGTATCATTGATAGATTGCACATCATATTATATATAGCGCTATATCGACTGTCAGTTCAAAACATTTTGAGAAATAAATTTAGACCTTACAAAGTCACACAAGTCCACCATTTGCGTTCAACGGACAAACGGACTATGATATAGGAGAAAAATATTTTATAGATGGCTACTCAGACGACATCGTCAGAATAATGAAATCTCCAATAAAATGTTATGGTATGATGAGAGTAGACTCACAAATAACGGATGGTTTAACAGAAATACTCATTATCACTGGCGACAAGGAAATTCCTTCCTAGATAAAGCTACAAATTCCCAAGAGAAATTTCGAGTTGTTCGGCTTTGTGTGCTAGACACCAAGATTATAGGTTCCTAATTTTTCATTATTTCTTTGACGCGGAAATCATATTTGAAATTCTTGTCGGAAACTTTAGTTGAATTGTAGGAAAATTTTCTTCTGAGTAATCCGAGAAAATATCATCTACAGCATGATGAAGCTCCGCCACATCGCAAAACTATTTGCAGAGATTTTCTCGATACGACTATGCCAGGACGATGGAAAGGAAACAATGGTCCTATTAAAGGGCCACCACTTTCACCAGACCTGACCCTTCTGGACTAGTAATTGTGGAGCTTCACTAAAGACAAGGTATTCGACGGCTCAACTTTTGTCAATATTGGCGAATTGAAAGAAAGTCGTATGGCTATAACTCCACATATGCTAGGAAATTGCCATAAAAATACTATTGCAAGAGCGAATATGTGATTTGATTTGAATTTGAACATTCAATGATATATCCTGAACGACGTAGGTGATTAGGAATTATTTGAAATATTTTTTTTTGTTTGTTTCTTGGTAACGTGTTTTTCCGATATTGGTCTCTACATTTTTGAGGTAGCTATGACCTGGAATTGTATTATCATTCGGTGATGAGAAAAACGTCAAGGAACACATACATTGTAAAACATAGCTGAATTCGTTAATATGGTGGATACAAAAATCGTTATAAAAACTAGAGGTCGGTATTTTGAAAAATGA